ACTTGTCAGCGTTTGTTTGTATTACCTAAAGGATGAGATGCTAGGTTGGATTTGTTGATTGGTAGATGAATGAATTAGTTTTTATTGTACGTTATCCACCATCATCATCTCACAAAACAGTTCTTAAACATACACACCAGACACAAACGACAACAAATATCTCACATATAGCCTAGTAGACTTGCCGAGGCAAAATTGTTGTAACTGAGCACCTATTCTTTGGGTCTTTTGGTAAAGTCAAGTAGATAACTTATCTACGTGACTTTACCGAAGGATCCAAAGAATATGAATTCCTGCAGTCACGAAAGCTTTATGTCAAGATTTAACTGAGCACATATTAAGGCATGTTTTTTAATTTTACCAGGTAAAGCCTCCCGAGCTACATATATGGCTCGTTTTCAGAAGCGATCTGGCCACAAATGATAGCTCAACGAAGTGGCTTATCGCGTGGAAATATATAGCAGCCAAAATACTCTGAACGCATGCTGATTCTAAATGTGGACGGAAAAACCGGAGGACCTGGAGAAAAATCCAAGTAACCACGGGAAGAACCATGCAAACTCCAAATATACAGCAGGCGTCAGGGTCGAATCTACGACCTCCTGTACACCCGGCGAGGTCGTTAACATCTCGCCACCCCGACACTACAGGGCATTACGCACGAAGGGAAGGTGTGGCCACCTTCCTCTCCCCTGGGCCACCCCAGGGCTCGCCCTGAGATGGCTCAGGGGCAGTTCAGATATGACCCCTCCACTGACGGTAATTGAACTCGGTTTGCTTGTGTTCAATTACTCCGAGAGGCTCGTAGCGCAGAACGCTGACCACTGCACCTCAGCCCCAGACGTTCACATGCACTCTCATGCAAACGTAACATTGTCTGGATAAACACTCTGTCCAGTGTTCTATTTATACGGAAATTTGATGTGCAGTTAATAAAGCCGAACATGTTACTTATGTACAGTAGTTTTACACACGCATCTGCATACGTATATTCTTCCGAGGCAGTCCAATCCTTGAGCAAGTGTTTAACCAGTCATTGACTTCATGGCCAGCAATAAAATGAGTAGAGTACAGCAGATTGCTGGGTGGTAAAGTGTGGGCGCGCTTCCACCTCTTCCATCTCATGGCGGGCGGGTGGGGGGGGTGGTCATGGCGGAGAAGAAGGCCAACCCCTCTCTTTAAAAAGGAGGACGCCCTGATGTCCACACGGTGTGTGTGTGTGGATAGCAGGGCGCTGTCTGACTGTGGAGCCAGCACGAGTGAGGTTACTGCCTAAGGGTTACAGATGTTGCAGAGATTATGATTTAATGCCCGAAGCTGAAGGATGAGGAAATTATTACACAAATGAGGTCACGGTTTTTTTTTTGGTAACCCGAAGGCAAGAGACTTATCGCCCGTTGCACAAACAGATGCGGTCAATATTTGTTTCATAAGACCTTCATGAAAAGATAACGCACAGGGTGTCGTTAATTCTTGATCACGAAGTGTGTACTGGGCATTTCAATCCTAAGATTCGCCGCCATTTTGTTTTATATTGACCAAGTGGACACACGTGCACAGACAGACACGTGCACAACATAAAGCAAACGTGGGTAATATTCTTTGCTTCTTTTGGTAAAGTCACGTAGAGAGAAAACTATTTGTATTGAATTAGATGGTGGGCAAGAAAAAAACAATCAGTGCATAAATATACTGGATCCACACATTCCTGTAGAGTACAAGGTCGCATATCCGACCGTTACTTCACATATCTGATCTGGTGGAGTACTTTCGTCAAAACAAAAGAAACACTTTTTAGAATTTGAATTCATCCTCATGGACACATGCGGGAGACCCGGAGGACATTTTCAAAAATTTCAAACGCATGATCACGAGACTCTGGGTTTGGGGATTTATGTCGCCACTGAGCCCCATAAATATGCATTAAAAAAATCACCTAATTTTCTCAGGCCAAATACAGGGGGAGGCGACATACATTGTAGACTTATCCACGATTGGCTAAAAAATCACAATACGTTTTTTTCTTTTGATTTTTGTAAACACTCAGAATGTATATGTAATAGGGGACAGCCTAATGCCATGTATGGTTATTGTAAAAAAAAACTGCTACAGTTGCTGTATCATCATATGATGTATCCCACAGACTATACGAAGTAATGTAAAACATGACGAGTAGACGTTTTGGACTTCCTATCCCAAAGGCATTTAGCACGTAAAAGCACTTACATATACACGCATGTACAACATTTACAAAAACACTCATTTTGATCGTGTGCAAGTTTGTGCTTTTGTCGATGTAATTCGTTGCCCTGTCCCTACTCTCCATTTGTGGAAAAAAAATAGCTTCATAGCTCATCATATTCCTCCTTCAATCTAAATAAAGATTATGATTCTGCGCGTAAGCTGATCAATCGATCAATGGGATATTAAAATGGCTTAGTATTTTTCAGAAATGACTTTGCAAGGACGTAAGCATTCCTGTAAGGGTCCGCATGTCTCTGTGAAGCATTATTGCTGGTTGCGTGGCACCTGGGAAACGGGGTTTAAATGCCCTTGACTTTCACAGACTCCGGCTTCTTACCCTGATGGCACGTGACAAAGCAAGGTAACTGCGGCCTTGTATTTGTACGACTACATTCATTCTTCCCTATACATACAGTACAACATATATATATTCAAGATCGCCCCTGGGCATAACAGATGAAAAGATTGCACGGGTAAATGCTATCCAGTCACTATAAGCCAGTGGCCTCACATGACAAGTCACGACCTCTGACACCGAAATGGAGCGGCACAAGGGTTATTTCTTCACTGGTCACGTGATGCCGTTCACTCGCCGTTATTAGTTGTGTTCGGCTTCATTTCCCAGGTGTGTTTGCGCGGTGGGTCGCTCCTGAACTTCCAACAATGCTGCCTGCTGTGGAAGATCGCCAGAATGGACAAACGTGTTGTGAGGACCCTGTGAAATCTGGGCTGCCATTGCCTGCTTTTGTTTTTACTTAAGGAGAATCTTGACCGTGCCCCTTTTGAAGACACGCTTTGATTTTCTGTACGCACATATTCATTCCGGTATGTATATACGTACACCGTGTATACATCTTCTGTATAAACGTATTTAATTCACCACCGCTCAGTTGTCACAATTACAGCTGGCGACACCTCACCTGGGCAGGGAGTCTGTCATTCTTCGTGTCGGGTTCAGTCTATTCCTCGTTCGTGGTCGCATGGATGGTGGGATTGACGTGACGGCCCCGGGAATGCATTGCGAATACATTACAACACTTGGGGGTGGGGGGGCATAATTAGTAAAATAAATAAGGAATCCAAGCACAGTTTTAAACGGTAATAGATACTAACAAGTTTGGCTCCGTGCTTTCAATTCTTGGAAAAGAGTGCATTGGAAAAGCCGCTGTAAATGTTGAGTTGGCCTGCAACTGACCCAGATTTTCACGCGAGCGCCCATTATTTTCAGGTCTGGCATCGACTGTCTTACATTATCGCACACGGGGCTTTGTAAACTCCTGGCACGTGTTTCGATTACAATGTGTACCTGGCACAGTGGCTGCCAGCAGCATTTTCATCGCGTAATTGTTAGTAAATGTATAACTGTTGTTTTAAGGAGCTGCTGATTTAATTTGCGTTCGCACAGGTACGGGTTTATACATCGCCGTGTGCAGAATGATATTTCCATAGCTATAACCATGGGTTCCAATGTTTCCGAAGGCCAAGGGTGTCAAGAAATGCTATAGCCACAAATCCCTTGGGGAAGGCTGATAGCCTGAGGGTCTGCATCTGGAGCTGTCTCACCCCGTGGGTTATTTTTCTGAGTGGATCAGTAAATTTGTCTTCATGGTCAGAACACTGGGAATGATGCGACTTTTCTTTTTGACACGTGACAGAGAAGGCTCTTTCAAATGACTCAATTTGTTACAGTTTAACTAAACACATAGGCAGAGCAGCTGAGACCAGTGGAGACACAGTGAGAATGTAATGACATGTCACACAGTATCATTAATAAAAAATGTATATTTATTTTATATAAATATTTTAAATAAATAAAGCCCTCGTTTTGCATCATCTGAGTTGATCGACGTATGTTTGTGCAGACGTTGCTTTGTGGCTCAATGGGTTTACGTCCAAATAAATGTGCTGAGAGTACTCCGGCGATACCACATTTAAGATATTTAGGCAATTATAATTTGGTTTAACCAGAATTCAGGGTTGCGAACTCACATTCTGGTCAAGAGTCAATTTAGCCTATCAAATATTCAAGCCCCCAACACAAGAATGTGGAATTTCCATTAATTGGCCCGTGGTCACCAACAGAGATAAGCGACCACTACACCGCGCTCCTCTGAGGCGAGAGACTCTTTGACTTGTGAATGCATGGGCCCTGCACAAAATCAATGGGCTATAAAAAGGAATGCTTTTTAAAACTGCTGTTTTTAAATTGGTTACATTCTACTCCCAGAATGCCAGAATGTTCGGAGAATGCACAGGGACGGAGTGAAATGATTGCTTCTGCAGCTAAAGGTGTGGACTCAGAACACCTCGATGAAATATGCTGTTTGTCACCCAATGCCCAGGCTGTAGATGTGGGCACAGAAGGATATTTACTCGTCTGGGAACGCTCACATGCAGACATGCAAACTGGACATGTGCCTGGGGTGAGCAGTTCAGTGAGTGACGTGCAATATATATTTATATCCTAGAATTTGGCCTGCATACTGCATAAGAAAAAGCAAATTACTGGAAAATTGAAATGTGCATTATAAAAGTAACCAACCACAACCAAAAGACATTCTTGGCAGGGAGGTATGCAGGGCGTCCGCAACATTACATGCTCATCTGCTCATTTGTTAGCAGCGTCATTTATATTTGCTTTGTATAAAATGCGCACTACCTTACACACTCCAACCCCCCCCCCCTAAAATAACACAATACATACAATACTCTAGTTGAATCTACAAGCGTGCAATTTACCAAACGGTTTATATTACCAGAGGCTGAGCTGAATTGAAGAGTCGTCAACGTTTCATCGGACCGAGGAACTCCTCTTGTCAGGGATATGCAGGTTAGCATTGTGAGCAAGAGCGCAGACGCAGCCTCTGCAAGGGGTTGACCGTCAAAAGTCGTCCTCCCCTTCGCTGGATGTTGCCACGGGATCTAATTTACTCCGCACTGCATGCCCATCATCCCGCATTCTGGACGGCAGCTCATTTTCCATCAATAGAAGCATATTAACACTTCATTTCCATATTAAAAAGCTGCAGCCCCGGTGAGTGTGGGGTTTTTTTTTTGTGCCATTGGTTGGGGCGGGCTTACGATGGAGAAAGAGAGAGGGGGGACGCTTAGAGAACCGGGGAGTGCGAGGAGATGCCGCGGACGAAAAGAAGCAGCGCTTGGGGAGGAGGGGGGGGTGGTGTGGGTTTGGGAGAGGGAGCCTGCGTGAGCGAGTGGAGCATTAATCTACCATCTGCTGTGGGCTGTCACGGCCGGGGCAGTCAGGAGGAGCCACTCCGCACACTTGTCATCCATCACCGGCCAGAGTTAATGAAATGAAAGGGTACATTATGGGGCGACAATAGGGGAGAAGCGGCGGGGCTGGGGTAGCGGCGGCGGCGGCGAAGCGGACGAATGCCGGGGATGCGGGGAGGCTAAGACAGTTGCCACGGGCATAATGAGGCTTTCAGCCGCGTACCCACACGACGGGCATGAGGTCAGGCCGCCTGCCTCCTACTGATTGCCCCCAAACTGTGGCACGAAAAAAAAACCCCCGGTGAAATGTGCCAATGGTAAAGGCAACATCGAGCCAGCCTCTCTGTCATGGCATAAACATCATTCATTATTTATAAAAAAAATTCACCACCTTCGCCTTCATGATTTTAATACGGTTATTCGTGTATATATTTTACTTTCGATTACACACAAAACGCAGGATTTTGAAGAATTAATCTAAGGGGTATGTTGTTTTTGTTTCAGCAGAAATCATAACGAATGCCCCTCGAGTCGTTATAAGCCTTCTCCCTTGTCCGATATGGCCATCGATTTTCGGCTGATTGTCGCTCAAAATATTGTTCTGTGTTCTGTGCATCGCTCTCCTTTCTCTCTCCTCTCCCAGCCCATGCCCCCGCCACTAAAGCATCCGCTGCATCCTAGACGCGCGCCGGTACACTCGCTTCACTCCAATTCAGCTGAAGTCTGCCGACCTTACTCGAAGAAGTCAGCCTTCAACTATCAAGTGCATATTTTGCATGAAGCTCCATTTCTCCTGTCTTTCATGAAGCTGGCATACAGACCCCCCCCTCCCCGTCTACCCCTCTTGTCCCCCATCCCTTCTCTCTTTGCTGCCATCTCATCCAAGCATAACTCTCCTCTGGGGATGCCCCAGACATCTGTGCTTGTAAAGCTGCTCATTTAAATTGAGTTTCCAGCGGAAATGCGCAGCGTCTGTGCAATGAAGCTGCCTGCTTTACTTAACCCCGAATACGGTGGCAAAAAAATATATATATACTTTTTATTCTTTACTTTAATATAAGGCGACATTTTAAGATATCTTTAACATGTAAATGTCCGTTCCATTGAACTGAACGTATTTTTTTTAATCCGGTCAAAGCGCACTGAGAATGGCAATGTGTGTACGAGATACAGGTTACTGCAGTTATGTCTATAGTATGACATTATTTTAATTGCGAGTGAAACTTGAAATTGTAGGATTTTGTGATGATAATTGTACGCAATATTTTGTTTGTGTGTTATATATATATTGCCGACATATTTGTTAACGTCCGCTTTACTTGCAGGCTGTACCGTTGTCGAATTCCCCGAGATCCGTGCAATAACAGGCGCAAAGCTATCAACACCATCCAAACTGGAGAGGAGTAGAGGGAGAGAGAGAGAGTGTGTGTGTGTGCCGTGTGTGTATTTTGACCACCAGAACACACTGCCACAAAAGCATCTCCGAGCAATTTTACCCACACATGTCTACATGGGCTTTGCAGCAGTGTGGATATTGTGGCTTGCTTTTATTGGGTGTTGCTGTTATTTCTGCAATGTTTTCCTTAAAGCACCCACGCTCTCAAGAACGACAAACAAAAATGTCTTATTAAAAATGTTCAAGAGGATACGGTTATTGCTGCACAGCTTTGCATCTCATTCTATTTTCATTCGTAAAAAAAAATAACACATTGTAAATGATTACGGGGAGGGGTACGTGATGCAAATAGGGGGCGATAAAAAGACAATTATTTATTTTCGGTAAAGGTCATTGCATAGAAGGCTGGTTTAGCATCATAAAAGGAGACAACTCTATGGTTTACGACTGCCGGTCTAATTTTGTATGCATTCCATGTATATTGAGATCATTAATATTAAATACAGTGTGCATATAATAAAACTACCGTTTGTCATATGTCTGCGCGACGGCAAAACAAGAGCCACTTAAAGCTCAAAAGGCTGGAAAAAAAACGTCACACGGTGTCATGATGGCAGGCTCATGTGTTGGAAGAGCGCTCCTCTGCATCACCGTGAAGGCGATGCATCTATCGCACCGAATTCAAGTCAGGCGTTCACATTCGAAAACGAAAAAAATGATGTGAGAATTAAACGGCGCTTGTGTGTAGTGGAATATCGCGCAGTACAAGCAGGGTCGGTGGAACACCATTGCACGAGGCACCCAGTAATTATAATTTATTAACGGTACAGCACAGCAAGTAGGTTTTTTTTTACCAATTAGTAGAACCCCTCTTAGCGACCGAAATTGGTGCAACGAATCCGGTCGTTAAGCGTTAAAGGCTTAATTAGTTCTGATAGCATTGCAAGTTACCCTTTCTCGCCGAAAAAAACGTACTTTATAATATTTAAACAATGTATATTAATACATACAGATGCTAACAACATTATAAATACATGATATTAAAAGAAACATGGCTAATCAATGCATGAATTAATATTTACTGTACCTACAACAGCCCGTCATTAACAGGGGAATGGCCGGTTAGCGAACTAATTGGGCTCTATGGAGGCACTACACCACTTTACACTACACTATACACTACTATACACTACACTACACACTACACATTGGGCTGTATGGAGATCCGTCGTTAAGCGATTAGTCGTTAACAGCGGTGGTCGTGAACAGGGGTTCTACTGCCAAATCTGAAGGCTAACCCCTTATATGAGTGGGTTTATCCAAGTACTAAATGTTTACTTAATCATCATCATTCCATTTTCAGTTCACTCACCAACATAAGCATTTCACCAGATCATCCAATGCGTGTTTTACTAATGGTAAACACGATCCTACTGGCCGATAAATGTTGATCACACTCAGCTAGGTGGCTATAATAATAATAATCTTGATTTGAAGCTTTCGTGACTGCAGGAATCCATACTCCTTGGTTCTTTCGATGAAGTCACATAGGTATAAAAAATAAAATATATTTATTTTAAAATTTTCTACCTACGTGACTTTACCGAAAGAACCAAAGAGTATAATAATAGCAATGCCAATTATCTATCCAGCAAAGCTGCAATGAGCCGTGAGACTGTCCAGGAGAGGCACCATCGGGATGTTGGGTAATATCACGAACGAGCGCTTTGGTATATTGGAGGAAATCAGAGTTACCAGAGAATACCATGTGCGTGAAGGCATGAGACGCACAGATATTGGAACGAACACCAAAATGTCTTTCAATATTTGGACAAAGGGAAAGGTACCGTCGTTGGATATCTATCGATGCAACCACTGCTGGAGTAACTCTTTAAACACTTATGTTAGGGTACACTTATTTCCTTTTTTAGCCATGCTTCATTATAACTGTGCATCAATCACAGAAACCTTTGCATCTGAATGCTAGCTGTAGATTACTCAATCGAGCAATGCCGTGACACTCTTCACCATTGGCAGCCCCGAGCCAGTACTGAAAATGTCACATTCATATGACACGTGCCAGTCCATTCGTACGGCAACCGCTGTTCACTTTTCACTCAGTGGTACTTCATGTACCAACCCTGGAGAGATGATGGGCTCAGCTGTCCACTAACAGAGGGATTTGAACTCGCAGACCGTACAACTGCGACTCCTCTCGTTGGACGCGACAGTGCCGTTGTGGACATTGCCGTCATCGACGCTCGACATTTCATTAAAAGAGCGCAGAGCAGCGAAGAACACGGTTATAGCCATTGTTTACAAGAGGAATGAGAGGGGGGTGGATAGTGAGTGGGTGGGCAGCATGCTCGCCCACAGAGCCAGCTTGCCTGGTATCCGCGGTTCAATGTCCATGCAACTTCTATGGGGAATTCAAAGCTGCGCTGCTGCGGTAAAGTGTACATTACATTTATTAGGAAGGCACTGGACCTATGCACTTTTATATCCAGATTGAAAACGAATTTCAATAGGACTGCTTTTTGTGTTTAGTTTGATGTCCCCCCCACCCCCACACCTCAAATTATCACAGTTGGCGATGTACGGTGCAAAAGAAGTTCAACATATAAATGTAGTGTACCAATTCAGAGACACTAGTAGGAGGCACTCTCTCTGGTTTATTTCGGCCTTCACAGCCATAGGGGATAACTACAAGACAGCCAACATGCTTGTAGACCCACAGCTTGAAGAGGCGAAAACCACGATGATGACAACACGACGAGTTCCACTCCAGATGGCAGCGGCCCCGACTGTGAGTCGGAGCTCACCTTTTATCCTCCCCAGTGTGGCCAGGCTCCGCCCTCGGCCCCGCATCCCTCTGGATCCCCCAGAAGGCTCCGGGCTTCGCCCACGGGTCCAACTGGTAGAGCGGGCTGCTACCCCCAATCCCACTGTCTACCAATCTCCCAGCGACACGTGCTACAGTGACTCAATCAATGTCACTACACATACATACATACAAACACTTTGTGGCATAAATCACGAGGAAAGCTATTAGGTGCCCGAGTCAGAGTGCATATCCCATGCTGTATTGTTATGGATTTTTTAGTTATTTACATACAACATAAATGTGTATTTGTAGAGCATCTAAACGGAATATTATTCACCTCAAAATGGGCTACCGGTTAAAATGGCGAGGTTACGACCGGATTACGAATGGGTGACGTGGAAGGGAGAGATGGGGCGAGAGGAAGAAGCAACATAACTAATAAATAATCTCTCACATATTTCTGGCAAGTTGGTTGGCAAGAAAGGCGATCGGCACGCGCAGGTGGCCGTGCGTACGTCTCAGTGCGCGTGGTGCTGTGACATCGCACTCGACGTTACATCGCCGAGCAAAACACGGTTTTAATTTTATCTTGGTAAATAAAAACAGTCAAAGTTGATGTCCTGCTCAAATGGCATTGCTATTAGTCGAAGTGCATCTCGAGTTCGCAGCGCTTAGGCAGTGGTGGGAATTCTAGGAATTGGTATCGATTCTAGGAATTCAATGGTGAATCGAGGGTAGAAATTGTAGGAATTGCCAAGTTCCATTGTGTAGTCGTAATGAATAGGGAAAATTGGAGAGAAAAAAAACGTGTGAAGGAATGACAATTTTCCTTTTCATGGTACAGCTATGGACTTTT